TGTGCATGCGTATGCTAGTGCGTGTATGCGTCATGATACGTGTGGAGGTCAGACAACATCATGGGACAACTTGTGGGAGTCATCACTTTCCACCATGTAGGTCCAGGGGATTGTACTCAAGTTGTTGGGTTAGATGGCAAATGTGTTTTACCTGCTGAGCCCTTATTTTATTCTTTTGTTATTAGGGGTGGGGGGTGTGCACGTGTGATCAGAAGACAATTTTGTGGAGTCAGTTCTCCTTTAACCTTACACAGGTTCCAGAAATTGAAATCAGCTCATCAGATTTGCATCTTTTTTTTTTTTTTTTTATAGACAGGGTCTCCCTGTAGCCCCAGCTGTCCTGGAACTATGTAGACCAGGCTGACCTTGAACTCATAGAGGTCTGCTTGCCTCTGCCTCCCGAGTGCTGGGATTAAAGGCCTGTGCCACCACACCCGGCTCACAAGCATCTTTTACCCACTGGGCCATCTCACCAGCTCATGTAACTTGGTTTTTCTGTTTTTCTTTTTGGTCTTTTTGAGACAGGGTCTCCCTGTAGCCCCAGCTGTCCTGGAACTCACTATGTAGACCAGGCTGGCCTTGAACTCACAGAGATCCGCCTGCCTCTGCCTCCCAAGTGCTGGGATCAAAGGCGTGCACCACCATGCCCAGCTTGTCAGTTCTTTTAAGCAGGAAGTGAAAGAACCTCTCATAGCCTGGCTTGTAAGATTATGAGACATTGGGGGCAGTGAGATTAATCTGAATGACGTGGAAGTGGAAGAACTGAGTAATGTAACTATTTATCCCTCCTTGAAACAAAGCCTGCATACTCTGAGACAGTAGAAGAGAAATTCTTGATGGTTTGTCTCAAACAAGCCAATAGGGACACTTGGCTATCACTGGCTGAGATTCCCATAAACATCAGGGACTGGAAGACAATAGAGGAGGGACAGGTATTTCAGAGGGAACTGGGAATGGGAGAAGTAGGGTTTAATGTTTAGCCTGCTTTACCTGATAGGACTGTGTTCACAGAAGAGTTGATAAAGAAGTTACTTCAGCAGGAACTACTGGACTGGTATGGTACTTTAGTGGCCTTCTGAACACCACAATGAAGAAGATAGTCTGGTGGATCTGGGTGTCTTAAACCATATATAAACCATAAAGTTCTGAAGCAATCAACAGATGAAAAAAAAAGTAGAAAAAAAGGTCTGCGACACTCAAAGACAAATGTGAAAAAATTTATGTTGAGCAGGAATTCTTAAAAGAAAACAAACTGCCAGGCATGGTGGCACACTCAGGAGGCAGAGGCAGGCAGATCTCTGTGAGTTCAAGGCCAGCCTGGTCTACATAGTGAGTTCCAGGACAGCTGGAGCTACAGGGAGACCCTGTCTCAAAAAGACCAAAAGAAAAAAAAGAAAACTGTTCAAAGCCAAATGTTATGCTAGTGACCTTTGGGTAAGGGTTTAAAGTCAGAACAACAGTTCATGGATGGTCTAAATGAAAAAAACCGTACAGGCAAAAAAATTAAGCTTGTTTCAGAGGTGGGCAGTTATCTTCTCCAGAGTAAAGGATGTACACATTTCCCCTAGGGAGGAAAAAGTATGCTCGGTATAGAAATCAGCCTGAGTCCTTCAAAGCAAGCCAGGTAGAGCTGAGGGAGAAGCAATAGATACTGTGGTGCTGTAGCTGCAGTGCCAGTTTGGAGTCTGTCAGATTTGGGAGTCAGCTTGAGCAACAGTTGTTCCCATGCCCTCCTAGTGCCAAGGAGTTTCACCTGGCTCCACTGAGAGTGGGGAGATGAATGGCAGCCTCATGGTAGTGCCCCAGGATGAGAAGGCAAAATCATTTTTAGAGAAAATTATAATAGATTATAGAGAACTAAATAAGATAGTGTCTCCCATACATGCCATTGTACCCACCAGTGCTTTTCTGAGGAAACGATTTTATCTATCTATCTCCAGTGGAATCTCAGCTCTATTGGACCTTACATTTTTGCTGCCAACTTCTAAAACCAACTGGCACTTGCCTGAAATGGACACAGCAGTGGCTTCATTACATGAATTTGTAAAGGCATCTAGAAAAATAGAAGTTAAAGAATTTGAAAGAAGGTATCCTGCATAAATACACAAAGATACTCCCAGAAGCCATACAGTTAATACAAACAGCAGCCAGGGGTGGGCCACTGACAAGTTACTATCCAGGGAGGCACCTCAATGAAGACTATTGCTTCTGCTTTGGCTACATGTCAGAACTAGATAGTCTATACTGCTGAAGACACTTTTTGCTTTGATTGTAGTGCATAAAGAAACAAAGCTGGACTGAACTGTAAAATCCCCTTCCGCTGGCTGATTTCTTAGTGCTGGAAGGTGCGTTGCAGGCTGCTGGGGCAGAATTGTTGACAACAGTCCTGCCTGTAGATACTATGTGCTACACTACCAACATGCTGGGCAAGATATGGCTGCTGGAAAATAGTGGCACAACTCTCATGGGTGCAACCATCAACTTTCTCACTGGATGTTGGAGACCATTGCCCTGCTTGAACTCTGCAGAAAGCATGCTTGCCTACACGTGCAAAGTGACCAATAGTCAAGAATGTCTATGATGAGAGAGCCAGATAGGGATGCATGTTGACATAGGTTCTGAAGTGCAGAGTCCCTTATGTTTAGATAAAACACTCCCTTACATGGCTGTGTGAACATTTGCTCTGTACCTTGCAAACAGGCCACATTTTGTTGCTGTTTCCGGGCTCTTGTAGAGAAATGTCCTTTGATCTGCCTACCCTTTGTTCCTGAATATCTGCTTAGAGTACCTTATCCATGCTAATAAAACCTTGAAAATTAGATTGCTGGGTGGATGAACTTGCACTGAGGGACATCAGGGCATACAAACTTGACTTGATAGGCCTTAACATATATGACAGAACGCATGAAATCTGGTGGGAGAGTCTATAGAGGGTATGGATGAGGGAGGAGGTATGAAGTGCACAAAAATTCAATAAAAGAATATACATTGAAAAATTAAATGACACCCCCTCCCCAAAGAAAAACCACCTTGGAAGTTAAGAGACCCAGTGCACTCTGTTCTATAGAATAGGGAGCTTCCTAGTCTCCAGCTTTCTTTAATATTAAATTGTCTTGTGTGTAATATTTTATTTATTAGACACCCTGCTGTGCCTCTTTGTGTTCTCCGCTACCCAGATCCCAAAGTCATAGCAAATGAGTTTAAGACCTGCTCCACCAGAGGGAATTCACACCTGAATCGTAAGCTACGATAGAAACCTATGAGGGAGGTCATAGGTCCCAGTGGAGTAGGAACTGCTATTGTTTATTAAATGAGTATGATATGCCTGTCAAATTGCCTTCTAAACATTTGTTTACACCTACAGAGTACTGCTGCTGTGTGTCCAGGTTGTAGGAAACTTACAGTAGGCAGTAGTTACTGACAGTCTTTGACTAAACTGCCAAGAATAATTGTTGGGGTGGTATGGCGACCACTTTGTCTTGCAGGTGGTGAAAAGGCTAAGGTGAAGACAAAGTGCTGCCAGTGTAGAATGGTGAAATACAACAGGTGGTAAGTATGGGATTTACGTGATATGAGTGAACATCCATGGTGCTGTTGTTTCTCTCACAACAGAAGACATGGGCCCAGGAACCTGAGGGGTAAAGAATGGTCCTGGAAGAATTTTTACTTCTCATTGTTCCTCTTTTTACCTCCTCTCCTATTTTATGTGTTGGTGGCACACTGGTCTTAAAAACTAGCTCACAGTTGCCAGATCTCAGAGCTGAACCCAGTCCTGAAGAGGCCCGTGTAATACCTTGGACAGCCTGGACTACCTCCCCAATAAACGTCATGGGCCTTGCAGAAGATGATGAAGCATCTCACATCGGCACTTGCATGAAATGACATCTTGGTTATTTAATATGGGAGGAAGGTAAGAACAAATACTGAGTGATCCGAGGGTGGGCTCTATGTGCTGACGGATACAAGGAACATGCGGATGCCCTTGTTTGGTTTTGGCAGGAGGACAGAAGGGAAAAGATGGAAATTGTTCTTTCACTCACAGCAGGAGGGATTGCTGGCTGTTGATGTGTCTCTTTGGGGCTTGTCACTTTCCACAGGGGACCTGTCCTTTGAGTCCCAAGAACAATTTCATTGTCCCTCCAGTTTCAACATGATAGCTTCCAGCTACTGCGCATCCCTGGGCTGTTCAGCTCTTCATCATTACAGTCACCAAACTCTAGTATTAAATTCCCTTTGAAAACCTGGAAATAAACCTAGTTTACTTTCTAGTCTGTGCTCTGATTGATACAATATCATGTATTTGATTAAGGGATTTCTGAGTCAAACTTTAGTTGACCATGATGAATTTTTTGCCCATCTTATATTATGGGGGAAAAAAATTAAGCAGCATGCCCATTAAATAGATTTACTGTTTCAGAAAGACTTGGCCATGCTTACTAAACCCATACATATGTGAATGACTATGTGACATACTTACACACACGTCTAAACAGTACATTCATTTCTGAGTGAACAGTACTAAGCCAGAATCACTGCATGGTTTGAGTATGAGTGAGCTATACAATGTCTGTAGCCATGGGAAACAGGTTTGACAAAAATACTAAGTTTTATTCTTTTTGCCAGTGAAGAGTAAACTCGATGGGCTGAAAAACAACACAAGCCCACCCACAACAGAACGCTGCCTATACTTTATCCCTTCCTTCCTGTGTGCTCATTTTTAAACAAACTATCTGTACACTTTAAGAAAAAAAAACAATTAGAAACCATTCCCCACTTCCTCCATGGAGAAGGCAGGTTGTTCCATCAACAGGTGCAGAACATGACACAGTCATTGCTCATTTGGAGAAAAGGAGCAAAGAGTGACTCGTTTAGCAGTGTGTTGATATGGGACCACTCAGTGGCCCCTTGGGACTGGTGTCATGGCTCCTAAAGAGTGTCCCATGCCCCACACCATGAGCATTCCTTAGAAAAAAAACCACCTTTCATCAAATAGAATTGTCAAAGGTTAGGGGCCACAGGACTTTATTCATTGCTTAATCTTCTGGTGGCTGGATTTCTGAGTAGATTTCTGAGTAGAATCTAAAATTAAAATGAAATAGAAATCTGTTATAAGATTTCACACATCTTTTAAGAATTCCAAAATTTCCAAACACCACCACTGAGTTATGCTTTAGTAAAAATATGAATTATAGTTAAATAGAAGGTCAAATTTAAGAAACTAAGCTGGACATGGTTGCATATGCCTTTAATCCCAGCACACTTGGGAGGTAGAGGCAGTCAGATCTCTGTGAGTCCAAGGCCAGCCTGGTCTATGTAGTGAGTTCCAGGCCAGCTGGGGCTACAGGGAGACCCTGTCTCAAAAAGACCAAAAAAAAAAAAGAAAGAAACTATTAGACAAAATATATCCTTGTCAAATTGGAACTGTTAGGATTTAAATAAGAAAAATCCTTCATGAGGGCCACATGTTAGATAATGATGCTGTTTTTTGGGAGGCTGTAGAACCTCCCTGGAGGAAGTGGATCACTAGAGGCAAGACTTGAGATTTTATAGCTGGGCTCTATTTTCTGTTCCTCTCCATTTCCTACCTACACGAATGTGAACAAGCAGCCACAAACTCCTACCACCAATGACAAAAGCTACTCCATTCACTACTCATGCTCTGCTACAATGGACTATTTTCGTAAACTGTGAGACAAAACAAATCTTCCTTTAAGTTGCTACTTGTCAGATATTTGGTTACAGTGATGAAAAAAGTAACTAACACAGAAAATTAGTACTGGAAAGTAGGGCCCTTGCTGTGATAAACTTAAACTATGTAGTTTGTACACCTTGGAACTGGTTTATGTGAGAAATTTGGAGAAGTGTGGAGCTATGGGCTAGAGAAGCCCTAGAATGCTGTAAACAGACCTGTTTTTTTGGTCTTTTTGAGACAGGGTCTCCCAAGTGGCCTTGAACTCAGAGATCCACCTGCCTCTGCCTCTTGAGTGCTAAGATTAAAGGCATACACCACCATGCCCATCATGTAAGCAGGTCTTCATGAGGAGTTTCAGCTAAGAGACTGCCTAGAGTCTCAGAAGACTTTGGACTTTTGAAACTGCTATGATTATGGGGACTTTCAAAGTTGGACAGAGTACATTTTGCATTATGTACATTTTGTAGTCATGAGCCAGGGGCCATGGATGGAAGTTGCAGTTTCAATGTGAAAAGCTCCCCACAGGATGTGTTTAATTAAACACCTGGTTCTAAGCTGGTGGTGCAGTCTGGGGGCTCTGTAGAATCTTTAGGAGGTGGAGCCTTCCTGAAGGAAGTGGTTCACTGAGAGCAGGCCTTGAGGCTTTATAGCCCAGTCCTGCTTCCTGTCCTAACTTGCTTCCTGATCCAGTGAGATAAGAGCAAGAAGCCACCATAACCATGAGCCTCTGCCTCCGCCAAGCTTTCCCTGCCAACTGCTTCATCTCAGATTATTTGGTCACAGAGATAAATAGCTAATAGAATAATCTTTAAATTCCCTATCTGTAAAAGGAGGACAAATAAGCCCAGTCAGGGAATGAATCAAACTTACCCATCATACATTAAATGCATTTGAACACACATTTGTGCAGTATCTTCACTTACAGACTAAGTTTTAACATTGTTATCCTAATAATGTTAAAACCTAAAAAAGCAATTACTAAGCTGATACCAACAGGTATATTTTGTTTTTAAGATAGGATTTTGGGGCAAGAGAGATGACTCAGTGATTAAGAGCACTGGTTGCTCTTTTAGAGGACCCAGGTTCAGTTCCCAGCACCCACACTGCACTAACAACTGTCCATAACTCCAGTTCCGAAGGATCTGACGCCCTCTTCTTGCCTCCACATGGATTGCACTCACAGGTCCACTTACATACATGCAGGCATATTTCTGTTATATATTTCTAAGGTACAGTTATAATTTTTAAGAATTTTATGTGTATGAGTGTTTTGCCTGCCTGTATGTAAGTGCACCCATGGATAAAATGCCTGTGGAAGCCAGAAGAAGGCATCAGATTCCTAGAACTGGAGTTATAGATGGTCATTAGCTGCCATATGGGTGCTAGGAACAGAACCTGGATCCTTTGCAGGAGTAGCCAGTGTTCTTAACTTATGAGCTAGCTCTCCAATTCCCAATTACTTTAACAAGTACTATGAGAAAGACTGTTTTTTTACCTGGTGGTACTCCTGCAAGTCTTTGCTGGATCATTTCTAAATGATGAATATATTCTGTCAAGGAATGTTCTGGATCATGAGAAGCAGTCAACGATCTTTCTAATCTTGAATTTGGTGATGAAGTTGATCTTCAAACAGAATACCATTATCAAGGAGAGGAAAAGAAAGAAGAAAAATAACCCCATTAAATTGACATATGGAGCTAAAGTCAAGAAGACATATAAGAGGGCCTAGGAATAGCTGACCAGACCCTGGATGAGTCTTCACTAGGGCCATTCCCCTCACACCACTTCTTTACAACAAAGAAAAACTGTTTTCTCTTTACTTAGAATCCAGAAGTTTATGAATGCCAGGCAAGCACTGCACCACTGAGCTTTACTTTAGCTCTGCATAGTGCTTTAAAAACCAACTACTGGCAGGGTGTGGTGGCGCATGCCTTTAGTCCCAGCACTCGGGAGGCAGAGGCAGGCGGATCTCTGTGAGTTTCAAGGCCAGCCTGGTCTACATATTGAGTTCCAGGACAGCTAGGGCTACAGCGAGACCCTGTCTCAAAAAGACAAAAAAAAAACAAACCCAAAAACCAACTACTGGTCAGGCATGGTGTCTCACGCCTTTAATCCCAGCATTCAGGAGGCAAAGGCAGGCAGATCTCTGTGAGTTCAAGGCTAGCTTAGTCTACACAGCAAGTTCTAGGCTAGCCAGGGTGACACTGTGAGACTCTGTCAAAAAAACCACAAACCAGCTAATCAACAACAAGAAAAACCCAACTTCTAAGGCTGACTATAGTGGCACATGCCTGTAATTCCAGCACTTGGAAAGCAAAGACAGACAGAGCGATCTCTGTGACCCTGGTCTACACAGTCAAGTTCCAGTCCAAGTAGGGCTGGTGACTGAGACCCTGTCTCAAAAAAGAAAAAACAAAACAAAACCACAACCCAACCTCGCCCCTAAAATTCCCCCAACCCAACTTCTATATCATACCTTGCAATTAGAATGAGTGGCAATAATTGTATACTATTTCATCTATTAAATCATAAGATTATACATGTTACTCCAATTAGATTATGTCTAGCACCTCTTAACATGCAACCTGGTGACTGAGATGGTCTACCTACCTCCTTATACTATTCTCTAAACAGAACTCACTACTGGCCATCCTTCTTCCAAGGCCCCTCTGGTCCCACAGAACACTGTCTGTACCCCTTTCTGTTTCCCTGGACAAGCTCCCAAACCTCTTCAGGGTAGAGAACACGCCTCACTTACTGAGCACAGGTGATCCCGGCCCTTCCTGAACAAAACCAGACTCCCATCCCTTCACAGATTCTGTGTTCCTTACCTTGCTCTGTGTCAAGCCAAAGCCAGAACTTTCAAAATGTACTTCTCAGGGGAGCCAAAGAGGCTGCTAGAGAACACTAGCATGATCTCTAGGTGAAAAACCTAGAGTATCCCAACAGACCTTTCTGCCTTGCTCAGGGAGACTGCTGCTGCAGATCTGGGGCTGTGCTGAGAGTCCTTGATGTAGCCTGAAGGCAAGTCTGGGGTTGGCAGGGACGCTCTGGTTTCTGGAGACTGCTGCCGCCGTGGCACTCGACGCCCTTCCCAAGAATGATTCGACAATAAATCAAAAGAAAGGCACAAATTTAGTAGGAAGGCCCATCTATCAAAAATTTAAGCTTAGATGATATACGAGTCTGCATGGTAATTTCATAACGTAATCAAGTTGTGGGTTTTTTGGGGTTTTTTTTGCAGCATTCGGGGCTGGTGGGCACCATTGGGCAAGGGCCCACAGCCCACACGGACCCGTCTTAAGTTATGTTGTTTTTTTAAAACATCCTGTTGGCCCTGACTACTAGCATTATATGGGCAGCCCACGGATAGGAGAACCTTCAGGAGGCCTGTAGGGAAGAGGGTGAGTCTTGGAAAGACAAGCATGCCCGCTGGCCTCAAAATAAGGGCACTGTCAGGAAGGCCCATTTACTGTGGAAACCAGTAGTGACTTGGTGGCCTAGGCCCTCCATGTCCTCTAAGAAGTAAGGATATTCATACCTGTCAACCTTAGAGACTAGACAAGGACCCAGCAAAGTGCCCTGCTTGTCCCTGGCCCCTCTGGAGTCCATAAGGCCTGATATATACTGCCTATGAGGCAGGGAGCAGCACAGAGTTCCAGCAACAAGGTGTGCCCAGCTAAAGACAGCACTGGTGCTCAGAAACGAAGGTTCAGCAACATGAAGCCAAATTCCCAGCCATTTCTACAGAGCAACAAGGACCACCGCATTCAATGGTCTCTAGGTTGCACCCTCTGACTGGCAGGCCGTGGAGGACAGTGCCACTCTCACTGCTCTAGGTGGCTACACTGACCACTTTTCCTAGTTTTCTTACTATGCTTTATTATATTTCTACACCAAGATGTTCATGAAAATGCCACAAGCAGGAGGCAGTGGTGCTCAAGGCTCACCTGGGCGGGTGCTTCTGCTTTGGGCTAGAGCTCCTTTCCGATCCACTTCTTGCCATTTCTTAACCAAAAAACGCAATCTACAAAGAAAGGAGAATAAATACACCTAAAACAAGAGTAAACGGGAATGAATAAAGCAATGGCATTCCTAATTGATCAAACCACCAGAACTGGCCCTCAATGCCCATGGGAGGGACATGTACCATGACTGTCTGGATCAGCTGGCAGGCTACTAATTAGTTAGGCATATGCAGACAGCTGGCTATGCTTTTTATATGGTATAGAAACCTTCCCATGCTGTGCCACCCACAGAAGTCCCTTTGGTCCCACCCTGGACACCCACCACACTCCAATTCAAACCTGTCTGCACCACCAGAAACCTGGATAACACACTACCTCTATCTGGTTGGGCCTTTTTGGCTTCATCTTGTCACTAATGGCAGTCAGGAGGACAGCACAAATGGTGCAGGGAAGGGGGTAGGCAGAGTGACAGTACACAGGTGTGTGCTATCCCTTCTAGCATGACTCTCCCAGCAAGTGGTATCTCTGTATCTGTAATTTTCCTCTTCATGGTATGGCAGACTACAGATTGTTCTAGTAGAGACCCTTCAGATACAGCCCTCTCACAGGTACAGAAGCCTGATGCTAAGAGACTACTGCATCTGAGTGATCAAAGGACTGTCCTCCTCACCAGGACGGGTCCTCTCACCTTTCCCTGTCGAGCTAAAACACTTCTTCCTATAGGTCAGGATGGACAGATGGGTAGGTGAGACAATAGACAACCTGTAGTAAGGACTAAGAGATGAGAGGAATGAACGTCCTGAGGCTGGAGACGGCAGAGAGCACAGACCCTCGGTGCCTCTCCTTCCCCTGCTTCTATGTCGACTTCTTAGAATGCTCCCAACAGTATGCCAGATGAGGACTGGCCTGGGAAGGCATTGTGATTAGAAGGGAACAGACACTGCTACACAGTCCTCAGTGGTGCAAACATGCTAGAAATTCTGCTATTTAAAAGTATAAAGTGAAACTAACTTTTGCCATCTCTACTCTTGAAATGACTGAAATTCCTAATAGCACTAGAGAGTCACATTTCTACTTCAGCAACAAGTCCTGTGAAAATGGTTAGAGAGCATGAAAAAAGTCTCCCTAAGAAGATATAGAGGACAGGAGTGAGGAGGGTGGTGCTTATACTATGGGGCACTGAGTGGCAGGTCAGGGACCCAAGAAGTTGACAGGTTCAAAGCTGGTACTACCTCAGTGAACTATGTGTTCTTACTTTGGCTATGACACAATCTGATTGAAACTGAAATTTGCAAGTGAAATGCAGTTTTAAAAAATATCTTATTTAATGTCAGGCATGATGGTGCACGCCCTTGATGTCAGCACTCGGGAGGCAGAGGCAGGCAGATCTCTGTGAGTTCTAGGCCAGCCTGGTCTACATAGTGACTTCCAGGCCAGCTGGTACTACAGGAAGACCAACTCAAAAAGACCAAAAAAAAAAAAAAAAAATCTTTTTTTAAAAAAATTTACATGTATGAGAGCACTGCTTGCATGTAGACAGGTTACACCTGTGTCATACAATGCCTGCAGAGGGCAGAAGAGGGTGTCAGATCCCATGGAACTGGAGTTATGGGTGGTTGTTAGCCACCACGTGGAAAATGGGAACTAAACCCAAGTCCTCTCCAAGAGCAGCCAGTGTTCTTAACCACTGAGCCATCTCTCCAGCCTGACAAATGCAGTTTAAAAAAATTTTTTTATTTTAAATTATTTGTGTACTTGTGTATATCTGTGTGTGGGTATGTGCATATGAGTGAAGGTGTCTGTGGGAGCCAGAAGGGGGCACTAAATCCTCTGGAGCTGGAGTTAAAGGTAGTTGTGAGCTGCCCAACATGGGGTATGTACTCTTAATCACTGAGCCATCTCTCCAGCCCCATGAAATGCAGTTTTAAATATCACTGAATATGCCTTTTGGGAGAAAGAATCCTGGCATGAAACCTATTGAGACAAATTGCTCCTCTGTAATAAAAGACCTTAAATCTTTAGTTTCAGAGGTGACAGTTTTGTATAAAAACTTTTTGGAGGGTTGGGGTTTGAAGTAGTACCAAGGACTGAACCTACTAGGGTTTTATGCATGTTAAGCTATCACTGTACCACTGCACTAATCTCAAGTCTTCTTTTTACGTAGTACTGGGTGGCCAAGAAATTGCTATGTAGATCAAGCTGACTCAAACTCACAAAGCTGCCTGTCTCTGCCTCTCCAGTACTAGGATTAAAGGTATGCTCTACCATACCCAGTCCAAGCCCTCTTTTTACATATATTTTGAGACAAGGTCTCACTAAATTTTCTAGTCTGACCTTGAACTTGAGATCCTCCTACCATAACCTCCCAAGTAGCTGGAATTATAGGCCTGCACCCCAAGGCCAGTAAATTTTTTTGAGACATTTTGACACCAGGGTCTCACTATGTAGCTCGGGTGGTCTTGGAATTTTTTTTGGGGGGGGGTCTTTTTGAGACACGGTCTCTCTGTAGTCCCAGCTGTCCTAGAACTCAGTATGTAGACCAGGCCAGTCTTGAACTCACAGAGATCTGCCTGCCTCTGCCTCCCAAGTGATGGGATTAAAGGTGTGCGCCACCATGCCTGGCCCGGTTTTGGAATTTTTAATCCTCCTATCTTAGTCTCCTGAATGTTGAGATGACAGGACTGTGTCACTATAAGCAAGCTACAGCATGACTTTCTTGAAGATGGGTGTCATTCTTTTAAGGCCTATAGTACTACTCATCTTGAAATAGCACTGTGTGGTTTCAAGGAATAGAGCAAGCATATGCATTGCCTACTGGTTTGGAGTTGGTGGCAATTACCTCAATACTGCGATGACTACCCTAACAGCAGTGCGGAACTTGGTAAAAGGACGTGATGTGGTAATTTTCTTATCTGCTTTAGAAGGAAATACCCCCAAATGAGCAATCATAGAGAGTGTTTCTTGTTCAGAATCCTGGAATCCACCGATTAGCAATAAAAGATACTTCTTCTGATAAATCAGAGCTTTTCTGAAGCTCTCTGCTCTCAGATAATGCAGGTACAGCTTTTCCATCTAAAAAAAAAAAAAAAAAAAAAAAAAGGTAAGACTCAGAGGAGACAAAGACACCTTCCTGATATATCACGTGCAGCACATCGTATTTGTTCATTAGAAGAATCAAACTGGATTTCCCCTCACAAATTATCACAGTCAGTCATGGAGATCTGTAGCTAGAAACAACTTCCTCTTAAAAATACAGCTGCATTCATGTCCCTGTTCGGGTGCAAAAAAACCCCCCAAAAACAAAAAAAAAACACCTGTTGCAGAGCACGGTGGCACATGTCTTTAGTCCTAGCACTCAGAGGGCAGAGGCAGGTGGATCTCTGTGTGTTCGAGGCCAGCCTGGTTTCTATAGCGAGTTCCAGGCCAGCTGGGGCTACAGGGAGACCCTGTCTCCAAAAAGACCAAAAAAACCCAAAACAAAACAAAAAATCCACCTGCCTATCAGAAAATCTAGACATAAATATCCTTTCCACAGCACTATCAAATGAGTCCCTACACAAAGACTCTTGAATTTCCATTCAAGTAAGGTCCAAACTTACTTATGTGTGTGTGGCAGGGGAGGATCTCACTGTGGGTTCTACAGATGACAACAAGGGTTATGAAACTACACAGAGCTTAGGATTTAAAGCCTGATGAGCACTTTTCCCTCAGAAGCAAATTACTGCAATGATCTTTTCAGTCTAAAGAGTTTCCTTAACTTAACACAAAACATAGTATCTGCATATAATGAGACCAAGTTTTAGATCAAGTTTATGCTTTCTTTTTACATAGTGATCAGACTACCAAGGCAGTGTTATCTTTTCTCTGTAAAGAAACATATTTGAGGGCTGAAGAGATGGCCCCAGAGGTTAAGATCATTGGTTGCTCTTGCAGAAGACTTGGGTTCAGTTCCGAGCACCCACATGATGGCTGACAACTGTCCTAGCTCTAGTTCCAGGGGATCTGACCACCTCTTCTGACCTCCATGGGCATTGCATGACATGGGTGCACTTACATACATGCAGGCAATACATTCATACACATAAAATAAAAGTAATATAAAGTATTTTTTTTTTAAAGAAACATGTTTGGTCTATGTGTCAACAGATATATCTAGCAAATGAGAACCTTATGGTCAACAAAATGCTTTTGCTTGTAATTAACTAGCCCAGGTTTATAACATGTCTGACACTCTGAACCTCTCCCTGAATAGTCTTACTTTGATATTGCAGGTATTTGCTTCTCCACTTGTAGTTGGTGTGCACCACCCTGGGTCTGAGTGTTGTGGAGAACTGTTCAAAACTGTCATATCTTGTTTCCACGCAGACTTGCCAGGCCTCTGTAACAAACCACAGCCAGTATTTCAACAGAGTTGAGGTTTTTTGTTTGTTTTTTGAGGTGAGAGAGAAATGTAGGGTGTGAGTGTATGTGCAAGGGCATGTGGAAGCCAGAGGCCAACCTCGGATGGTGTTCCTCAGGAGTTACCAGCTTTTATTTGAGATAGGAGACCTGGGTTTACCAATTAGGCCAGGATGGATGGCCATCAAATCCCAAGAATCCACCAATCTCTGCTTCCCCAGCACATACAGCACTACATCTAGTTTTCTGGGGGGAAGAGGTTGTGGAGGGTTTGAGATTGTCTCATTATGTAGCACTGGCTGGTGTAGAACTTACTATGTAGACCAGGCTGACCTAAAACTCACAAAGATCTGCCTGCCTCTGCCTCCAGAGTGCTGGGATTAAAGGCATATGCCACCACGCCTGGCTCACATCTGGCTTCTGATGTGGGTGTTGGGGGATGGAGCTCACGTTCTCATGTTTGCATAGCAAGTACTTTACCAACCAAGCTATTTCCTTGGCCCCTCTGTAAGTTTTCTTAAATGATACCCTAAGGCTAAGAGGGTGTTAAGACAGAAGATGAGGTCACTGTTCCAACCCAGAGGTAAAACGTCATGTTCAAATACCTCAATATTTCCATAGCTACCTCAGGACTACTATGGGAGTAGCCTGACATAGATGGGAGTAGGAGTTGGGAACATGTACCCTAAATGCCAGGATCCAGGGGAGGCATTGCTAGTCAAGGACTGTACACTCTATGTGTGTCCCTTGTCACCTCAGGCATCTTTTCAGTCGTGCTCAAGTGATGTTATGAGATTATTCACACTTCTGAAGTAATTCCCTTTCTTTTATTCAAGAATCAGTGCACAAAAGGCATATTTTCATAATAAAAAGAAAAAGGCATAGATTTTCAAAATAATTACTAATTGAAAGCTTTAAATCTTTTTTTTTTTTATCTGGAGAATTAGCATTTACGTTATTTTTTTGGCCTTTTTGAGACCAGTGTCTCCCTGTAGCCCCAGCTGTCTTGGAACTCACTCTGTAGACCAGGCTGGCCTTGAATTCACAGAGATCCACCTGCCTCTGCCTCCCAAGTGCTGGGACTAAAGGCGTGTGCCACCACGCCTGGCGTGAAAGCTTTAAATCTTAAATAGCTTCACAGTTCCTAATTCTACAAAGGCCAAACAAAAGTATGTACTTCTGTTCTAGGACTGTCAAATCACACAAGGAAAGCCCCGTTGACTGGTAGGCAAAGGGTCCTGGACAGCCACCATGTGCTAGAGGGCACTAGGACTCCACCAGGGAACACACATTTGGAAGACAACTCCATGGTAATGGAACAGAGGTGTCCCCCTCATGTGGTTATTGGTCTATTCAGCAATTAGGGACAAGAATCAAAGGCAGTTGGTCATGCCAACACATGGCTCCAGGAGGAGGGTCAGTGGCCGAGGCAGGCCCTGATGAGCAAAAGTAAAAGACAGTATGATCTGTATAAAATGACAGTCACTGTTGGAAAGAAATGTTCTGAAAAAGCAAGCCACTTTGGACATAAAGAAGGCACTCTACCAATTACCCACAGCCCATCTTAAATGTATTCATTACACACATTATCTCCTTATCTCAGTGCTAACCTTCATGTACCAGGTCCTACCAGTAACTATGGCTAGAGTCTATAAAAGCTCAATGGGTTTATCACTGTTAAATAAACCTAACTTCAAGGGGCAGGGGAAGAGCCTCAATGCAACACTCTAAAGGAGCCTTAAAAACATACTAAGAAATGAGCTCCAGAGAAGCAAAGGGCTCTGGACTAAGGCTCTCATCGGGTCCCAGGTACTTTCTATTTTCTTACATCCAACAACACAGAGTGGAAAATTATTCAGTATGGTCTGAGTGACTTAAGCACTACCATGAGCTGGCTGGCTGGAGGGTCTTCATAGAACGCTCTAGCATCCCAAGCTGTCCACAAGCTAGGGACACTCACCAAGAAAAAAAGAAAGCAGGGCCAGCTTAAAGGAACTAAAATTATTTGAAGCATATTCATTCACAATAATGGACTTGAGCCAGAAATAAAAAATAGGAGGGTATCTGTGTTTGAAAATTAAAGAATAGTTTAGGAAAAAACATATCAGTAATCGAAAGAAAGTCCCAGAAGAAACCAGAAAATATTTTGTACTCAATTAAATTGAAAACACAACACACTGAATATGTGGTTGAATCTAAAGCAGTGTTAGAGGGAAATATTTATTATTAAGCACTTACAAGGGAAAAGAAAAGTCTCAAAATTTTAAGTTTCCACGTTACAAAAAAAAGAGAGCAACCTAAACTCAAGTAAGCAAACTGAAGAAAATAATACAAATTATCAGTGAAACTCAAAACAAAAGGAATGGCCAATTTCACTGAAACAGAAAAGCCAGTTCTTAGGGGTCGGGAGGACTAGGAAGACTATTCAGACTGACAAAAACAAAACAAAACAAAAAAAAAACAGACTATAAGCTACCAACATTAGAAACTGATATGTAAATATGTAGTTCTCTACGTAAATATGTAGTTCTCTACCCCTGGTTCCTAACAGAGAACTCCCAAAACAGGGGTGCTAGGAGAATCTTTTGCCCTTGTATTTGGTCTCTGACCTCAGTCCTTGTTTCTGGAGTGACAAGAACACCTCTTGTTCTAATGAGGTGACTTGTGCGCTTCTGGGCAGTTTGTGATGGGGCAGGTTGCCAGGGAACCAATCATCTGATTAGGGTGCTGTAACTTTCCGTTTATACCCATGGCCTGATCACCAGTAGTCACTGGTGCACTTCATCCATCATGTTCACATAAGGAAGTCTTCATAAAAACCCAACAGCAGGGCTCAAGAAGCTTCAAAGTAGCTGAACAAGTGGCAATTGCTGCAGGCTGAAGCACAGAGGACACTGGAGTAAAACTCCCATCACGTATCTTGTCTTCTACCAGGGTATCCACCTGTGTCCTTTGCAATATCCATTGTTAATAAACCAAGACGTGTTTCTCTGAGCTCTGTAAGCCACCATAGAAAACTAATCAAACCCAGGATGGAGGTTGTGAGAAACACAGTTCATAGGTAGGTGTTCAGAAGCACAAGTCACAACCTGAGGCCAATCAGTAGACTGATTCTTCACTCTGTATGACTGCATCATCTCCAGGCATATGGTGTCATAAGTGAGTTAAACTGTAAGGTGCCCAGTTGGTGTCCATTGGAGAAATGCTTCTGCAGAAGTCTCCATACATTCTGGCAACCAGAAGTGGAGTACGTTGAGTGGCACGTGTGAGAACAGGAAATAGGTGTTGTCTTGTATGTGCATGTGTTTCAATCTCCTTTTTCTTTGCTTTGCTTTCTTTTTTTTAAAAGAAAAACTACGATGTAACCCTGGAACTCACTCCATAGACTAGGCTAGCCTTGAACTCACAGATAACTGCCTCCCTCTGCTTCCATAGTGCTGGGAGTAAAGGAGGGTACCATCATGCCCACCTGAGTATTTTTACCAGAGAAATGAAACCTAGGTCTACACAAAGCTATATAAGTACAGCAGCAGTGCCTGGTAACAATCAGAACTGGAAACCATTCACATGTCCATCAGTAGCCCATTCATTACGCAAGCTACTCAGCAATAGAAGGAACCAGTTCTTAGTAATCTCATGAGTATTAGATACATATAAGAGATATGAAAGAGACCCAAGCAGACGGTAACATACTCTGGTTCCCCAGACATGTTTGACAACAAGCCAGGTCAGGGCCTGATAGCTAGAGTGGACTACGTGGCCTTATTCATTTGGGAGTTGGCCATAGTTTACGTTCTACTGATGTGGTTGCCACACAGGTAGCAAGAATTCTATGCATGGGTGAAAACTTATATGAAGTCAAACCAGAAAAGGGAAAACTTTACTTTTTAGAAATTTTTTAAAATTTAAGTTTTCAATGTAAAAAAGTAAATTACAAACTAAAAACATAAAAAAACAGCTATCGACCTATAACACTAGTAAACCATAAATCATTTTAATAAGGAGCCAAATGAAATTCTAAGTTGCTCAGATTATCGTATTCTCTAAGTTTCCTTTTCTGAACATATACAAATATTATGTAGTAGTCAAGACCACATGGGACACTGCATATGTATGCCTGAAACAGAAAATTTGTTGCTAAGATATCAAATAAAACATTTAGGGGCTGGGAAGATGACTCGGTTGGTAAAATGCCTGCTACAGAATCATGAGGACCTGAGTTTGGATTCCCAGAACTCACATAAAAACCAGGGCAGCAGTACACACCTACAATCCAGCACTGGGGTAAGTGAAGACAAGAGGGTTTCTGGCGCTTGTTGGCAAGTCAGTCTTGCTAGACTGGTGAGCCTCAGGTTGTCTCACAAAAATAAGATGATGAGCAATTGAGAAAGACATCTGTACTCTACCTGTAACCCCCCACACACACACACACAAAACACTGAACACTGAACACTGGACATGGTGGCACAGGACTGTATTTCCAGCACTTGGAATGTGGAGGCAGGAGGATCAGGAATTCAAGGCCAGGTACATAGTGAGTTTGCAGCTAGCCTGGGCTATATGAGACTCTATCTCAAAAAACCAACAAAAAAAAACCCAAAACTAAAATGAACAAACAAAAAAATGAACAAACAAAACAAAACCCACTAAGCTGGGTGTGGTGGTATATACCTGTGAGAGATGGAGGCAGGAGGAAAAAACTACAGCCTAGTTTGGGCAGTACAGAAAGATCCTCGAACATGAAGTAAGGCTACATACTAAAAGGCCAACCAGAGACAACAACACACATGCTCTGGGTCTGGGAAGAAGTTCATTTTCCTGCCCAGAAGAGCAGATAAATCTAATCAACTATTATGGTATGGGGACAGTGGGCAGATGCCATGTCAGGAGGCAAAAATACGTACACTGAGGTTGCAGCCCTTCTGTGTATGGTACTTCAGAGTCTTCTCAAGCCGTGACATAGCCCTGCACAGCTCTGTTTTCTCTCGGGCTGCTGTACTGACTGCTTTTGTAAGAGAATCATTATCTCTCAGCAGCTCATCCACAAGCTGGACTTGTAGTTCTGCAGCCATTTTTTTCTTAAAAAGGAGAAAACAAATTTATAAGAATTTTGTGTTTACTTACTGCTACTGACTGCTTTCAGGGATTATAATTTTAAATGGGTTTGGAGTTTGATAAAAAGTTTGTGGGGCTGGGCATAGCTATATGGGATAGGAAACAACAGGTCATCAAATCACATTTCTTTTTCAACCTTTATGAGAGACTAAAAACTAAACATATAGAATGACACAGGTCTGTTACAAATAGAACCCTGATTTCAGTGTTCTAAGAATGACCAAGGTGGTACATGAAAAGGCAAGAAGGAATAATACTGCTCATTCTGAGGGGTCACAGATGTGTCACTTAGAACATGGCTGAATACTACAGAGTTGGAATCTTTAGCCCCATGTGGAGGCATTGGAAAGCTTGGGCACAGAGGACAGAGATAGGACACGCCATATTCCCCATGACACTCAGTGAGTAGGGTGAGAGGCTAGGCAGGTGATAGCAAGTGGTACAGTTTCCGTGTCATCTGACAACATGCTGTAATCCCATAACTATCACAGGACATTGGTCACAGCAACGTTAGCAGCTAGGATTTGTCAATACCTCCAAAGGCTAATCACAGGAGGCTTGGGACTTTCTAAGAATATTTGGGGTTTCATTTCTAGCTGCAGCTCTAAGCAGAAACAGACAAGGAACAGGTGGGGCTGTGAGCAGGCATTCTACCCCCTATCTATGTCCTCAGCAGAAGAGTCCACTGCCTTCTACACTAGAGTCTCCAGCTCTCAGGGTGAGCATGGACTATACACAGTGAGCACCAAGTGTGGACACCCATGCAGCATGTCTGAATAGTGTAGCTGAAATACAAAGATGTCAGAATGTAGAGGACATAGAGTACCCAACAAATTCATTTGGGGCAGACAACCACTCCACTTGTCCAGAGAGCAAGGGAGGAAGCCACAACTGATCAATAAACAAGCTACAAAGCGGCCATGACATCTTCTCAACTCCCTATATGACAGCATGTGCTGGAAACCTGGGTCTCAATCCAACTATACAGGTAGAACAAGTGTGGAGGAGCCTCAACTGTACCTGAGAGGAGGTGGGCATGCTCAGCTCAGACTTCAGTTCTTCGAGAGTACGCATTAAGGATAACATTGCCTTCTCATTTGACGATGTCCAATCTTTAATTGTCCTATGAAAACAGGGAGCTGTTTAAAACATTCATACACACTCCAAATGACCACCATCCTAAGCTACTCAGGAACTCTCTACTAATAGCACAAAGAAAATGCATTTGTATCGCAACTCCCCTGAGAGACCAAGAGACCCTGCTCTGTTCTTCTGCGTGGGTGATTTGTCATACTGGTGAGTCACTTCATCCAGCATCTCTGTCTACAAAAGTTTGCCTAGGAAGCCCTCTTCTGACCAGAGCAGTGTGGCGGGGAGCTGGTTGTGCCAGGAAGTAGACACACTGGCAAAACTCAGAAACTTTCATGCCTGACCAGCATTGGCATCCAGGTGCCCACATCCTGACATCCCACAGCTTCGTGCTGGAAGTGCTATTAAAAGTGCTGTCCTGGGTCCATAAGATGGCTCAGCAAAAAAGTGCATTTGGCACCAAGCCTGACCACCTGAGCTTAATATGTGAGACCCATGTAATAGAAAATAACTCCCAGAAGTTATCCTCTGACCTCTATGCACTCACCCACACCCATATACACAAAAAATAAATGTAATGACACTTTAAAAATTTTAATGCTATTCTAAATGAAACTACCTGGAAATCAAGCTGCTTAGCAAATCAAATCCAGGTATGGATGGGGAGTTATCCCAGCTAAAAGAGCACCCCAACTGTGGTGAGCATGGACAAGGTAAGGAGGACAAGCTGAGGGAGTACCCAGACCCAGGCCCTCCACACCTAGGTGCATGTAAAAACCCAGTCTAATCACAACTTGAAAGCCCATGGCAAGATGTACTCCAAATCACAAGGCTTTTCTGTAATAAGAGAATATAGAAATATGGTTTTATGGGCACCCATTAGAAGGGTTCTGCCCCTTAATTCATCTAAACTTATAGAATGGGAAATGGCACAGGAGACCATTAAGACACGATTCTGAAATCAAAGATACCGAACACTTCACACACACCACCAACAACCACCACCAGCACCACCACCACCACCACCACCACCACCACCACCACCACCCATGCCTGCCTGCCTGCCTGAAATTGAGTCTAGTTATGTAGACTTTGCTGGCTTAGAGCTCACCATGTAGACAAGCCCAGGCTTGAACTTGTGCTGGTTCTCCTGCCTTCAACTCCCTAGTGCAGGGACTACAAGCATACGCCACCAGTTTAACTTCAGAATTTTCTCAGTATAAATAGGCAGAGAATGGGCGGGGGTCGGGGACTGGTGGCCATTAAGTATCATGTATATATATATACACACCTGTCCACAGTGTGGTTGGTGAAGCTGGTCAGGAGCCCAGCTGCACATAGCAGCTGCTGCCGTATCTTCTCCAATTCCTGTTGTTGTTCCCGGACACGGTCCACCTCCAGAGATGCCAGGCGTGGGGAACCCCGGCAAGGGACATCACTCCAAGGCACCTCCTCTTTCCACCTCAGCTCTCTCACCTTCCGCTGAAGCTGCTCGATTTTATGCTCATCACGCTGGCACTGTAATTCTAGTTCTCTCTGTCACAATGGCAAAAACAAAAAACAAGAGATGCATGCCTGTAATCCCTGTAGAAGAAGGAGGCTCTTGAGTAGAAGGTCAGCCAGGGCTATACATAGTGAGGCCAACCTGAGCAACACTGTAAGACCCTGTCTCATAAAACCAAAACAAAATGAAAGTCCTAAACAACTGTCTGGCTAAAGGCCAGCAAAGTAACAGGGAAGGTTCCCGCACTGACCAACCACACTAATCACACAGCACCTTTGGAGAGGGTGTCTACACTCTGATTACCAGTTCTCCACTGGGATCCTTCCAATTAGTCCACCTGGCACTCTCAGTACTGTCAAGCAAACCTCTACATCAAAGTCAGGCTGTCTACACTGGAGTCTCATCTTTATTCTCAAAGATAGTCAAGATCAAGGCAAGCCCTCAGTATAAGCAGGAGCTGACACAACCCAAGGTAAGGTTCAGTTACATCCATGCACAAGTCAACACACAAGTCGGCAGACTAGCATAGACATGCATGTGACCAACCACAAGTACCACTGTTGGCCCTGTAGCCTCTTAGCCTGAACTCACTGATCACTAGCCTATCCTTACAAAACAGAGACAAGTTAATCTGCTAAATGCCACCACATTGTGGAGGTGCTAGCCCTTGGGCTAAGTACAGGGAAAAGGGAACGAGTCAGCCTTGACCCTCCCCTCACAGGGAGGTACAGTCAAATCACCAGATAAAGTAAAGGAGAGCAGAGGTGTTTCAGGGAAGATCAAGAAAGCCTCAGAAAAGCCATTATGGATTCTCAGTGGCATAAGAGGAGCCTCCTTGTGGAACTGTAAGAACCTGAGAAACCACAAATGATCCTGCCTTGCTGGGAAGAGACTCAGGCCTGAGCCCACAAAAGGTTGAGGGAAACTGCTGCAGCTCCACACTCAGCATAGCTCATAGGAGACCATCTTTCTGACATTATATCAGTAACTAAATAACATCAGTTTCATTAGCAAGCAAAAATCATTATATCCACATTTCGGGTAAAAAAGAAAGTGTATACACTGTTTAGAAAAAAATTACTGTGGCCTGCAGCCAACTATAGCCTGGCAGCCAGTCTGGAAAATAAGTCTGTGGTCCAACCACACTGCTCCTCTGCCAGATCCCTCCAACAGGAGGTACAAACCAAGGCATGTTAGCAAGCACAGTTACTACATCAGGAAGCACCTTCTTTATTTTTAAGCAACTGAGACATTTTTCATTTTTAAAAAAATCAGAATTAAATAATAAAAGGGATTACTGGAAACTCCAGATATGGCTTGGGGGAGCTGAATGGAAAGACCCTTTGAGAATATTAGCTAGAGATATTCATAGTGGGGGCAGAAAAAAGTAGAATGAAATCCTGTTCATAGCTACACGCTGCATTCTCAAGAACACCTCCAAGACAAACCTAGCTACTTCACAGTGGGCCACCTGCCTGCACATCTCATCTGCTCCTTTCTAAATCTAATCTCACTACCTATGACACCCCAAACCATTCTTTTTTCTATGATTTATGGTGACAAAATACATATATTTTGGAGGGGGTTTTGTAGCTATTAAGAAAAGTTTTCATGCAAGCTTTGAGAGTAAGTGTGAAAATGTACATTTAGCAGATTTTTAAAACGCAAAAAAAGGACTGGTGAAATAGTTGTGGGTGAAGGTGCTTGGCATGCAAGCCTGACAACCTGACAACCTCAGACTCCACGTGAAGGTGGAAGGAGAGACCAACTCCACGAAGTTGTCTTCTGACTTCCACACATGCACTGTGGTGCACATACAACACACACACACACACACACACACACACACACACACACACACAGTTTAGGGAAAAAAAACAGCAATAAGTATTAATCACTACTACTGATTTCTGGTGCATATTCAATGTAAGACTTGAAAGCATCTTGGTACATAAGAGAAGCCAGTCATAAGAGGATATACACTATGGGGTTCCACTTACATAAGTATCCAAAATGGAATAATTCAGAGAAAGATAGGTCAGGGGCTCCCTGGACTAGGCATGGGGAAGGGGCTGTTCAACAAACATGGGATCCCATTAGAGTGATGAAAATTTTCTAAAACTGACCGCCATGGCGATTTACATCTTTGAATATACTCTAAACCACAAATGGGCCAGTTTAGGGTACTTAATGTATGGGAAATATCTCACAGTGGAATATTAAGTACATCCCTGACAGAAACTTACAATGTCAATATTCTCACATTTTGGAATCTGATTTATCCTTGTAAACATTCAGAAACTTGCAGCCTTGTTTTTAGAAACAGATGTTCCTTTCTTTTTTAAAATATTTTATTTTTATTATTTTTATAATAAAAATATAAAATATGAGTGTATTGCCTGCATAATATAAGTGCATCCGTGTCATGCAATGCCTGCCAAGGTCAAAAGAGGCTGTCGGATCCCTTGGAACTGGAGTTATGGACAGTTGTTAGCTGCCATGTGGGTGCTGGGAATCAAACCCAGGTCTTCTGCAGCCAGTACTCTTAAGCACTGAGCCATCTCTCCAGCCCACCCCCCTCGCCCCCCATGTTCCTTTCTTAACTGCTTCAGGCAGGCTAATCCCTTGAAAAGGCCACTGGTTCTACCTGTGTTTGAAAAAGAAAATGGTCTTGCTTTATAGTCTACATTAGTTTTAAACTTGTGATCTTCTAGTCTTGGCTTCCTAAGTGCTGGGATTACAGGCACACATCACCATTCTCAGCCCTAAAAACCTCTTTATACTTTCAAAAAATGCGAAAGCAAGTAGTGAAGGTGTTTACTAAAAAGTTTTAGAAATATTTTGAATAGAGCAAAACAAATACCAATCCAAAACACACATATTACTTTAGGATAGAGGTTTTTGGTTAACATAAAATATATCTGAAAACTTAGCCAGGCGTGGTGGTGCACGCCTTTAATCCCAGCACTCAGGAGGCAGAGGCAGGCAGACCTCTGTGAGTTCAAGGCCAGCCTGGTCTCCATAGTGAGTTACAGGACAGCTGGGCCTACAGAGAGAATTAATTAATTAATTTAAAAAAAGAGGGGCTGGAGAGATGGCTCAGCAGTTAAGAACACTGGTTGTTCTTGCAGAAGACCCAGGTTCAAGTCCCAGCACCCACATGGCAGCTAACAACTATCTGAACTCCAGTTCCAGGGGATCCGACTACCTCTTCAGTTCTCCACGGGCATTGCACAACATGGGTGCACTTACCTACATGCAGGCAATACACGAATACACATAAAATAGAAATAATAAAATTTAAAAAAATAAATAAATAAAAAAGAAAGAAAAGGCCCATTTTCAAATTCACAGCGATCTGGAGGTAGCTCAAATAGTCAAGCGATATTCACAAAGAATGATGGAGCAATTGCACTTCTAATTTCAAACCTGTACAAGCCAGACATGGTGGCACACACCTTTAGTCCCAGCACTTGGAGGCAGAGGCAGGTGGATCTGTGTAAGACTGAGGCCAATCTGATCTATGAAGCAAGTTCCAGGCCAGCTGGACTACATGGAGACCCTGACACTAAAAAAATCAAACCAAACAAACAAAAACCTATTAGAAAGCTAGAATGACCCACACACAGTGGTGTCATCATAAAGGGGAACAGGAGGAAAGCCAGGAGTAAGTTCAGGTGAACTGTCCTGGCCTCCAGTCATTTAGGACCTGAAAAAATTGATGATCTGCTGGCAGACTGCTCTCACCAGCTTCGCCTTGTCTCTCTGCCACTTCAACTTCTCCCCATCTGCTTGGCATGGCCTCTTCATTCCGGCACCCTTGTGTTCTTCTTGCTCTTTTGCTCTTGTGGATAACTGCTCTAACTCTGCCTGGAACCAAGTTGATTTCTCCCTCTCTCTCTCCAGACAGCATTCCAGCTCCTGTCTGTGGGTCTGCAAGGCATCCACGGGTGACCTTAGGTTGACACTTACCTCTTTGTCTCGCCTGAGTTCTACGCAGCGCTCCTGAGCCTGGGCTTCCAGTTGCTGCTGTGCATGTGCAGCCTGCTGCTGCATCTTTTCAAGCATGGCTTGCAGTTCCAAAGCATGGGCCTTCTCTGCTTTCAGCTTTCGCAACAAAGCATGCTGCACTTGTGTCTCTTGGCGGACACAGGCCTCCTGTGCATTGCGGCTCAGCTGCTCAGTCAAGAGCCGCTCGTGCTGTAAGGCTTCTGACAGCTCCAGTGAGCGGTTCTTCTCAGCCTCCAGGCTCCTTTGCAGCTCAGAAAGCTGGCTCTGCTCCTGTGCCAACAAGGCTTCGCAGCGGGAAGACTCTATCTGCAGCTCCTTCTGCAGGTTGTCCTTTGTCACACGCTCGTGTTTTAATGCAACACACAGTTGATTATTTTGAGCACGCAACTTCTCCAAAGATATTTTCAATTCCTACAACAATGAAAATACAAGATGGTAAAAAAATAATATCAAGGGCTAGAGAGATGGCTCAGCAGTTAAGAGCACTGACTGCTCTTGTAGAGGATCCGGGTTCGATTCCCAGCACCCATATGGCGGCTACAAACTGTCCTTAACTCCAGTTCCAGGGGAATCCGAAGCCCTCTTCTGCCCTCGGCTGCACTGCATGACACGGGTGCACTCACATACAAACAGGCAATACACTCATACACATAAAATAAAAATAGTAAAATATTTTTAAAAATTAGTATCAAAAGGGAAAGGATCTAAATTGTTTTCCTATTTAAATACTCTTTCCTATTTTTATAGTTTAATACAGCAATCATAGCCTTTGAAATTTATCCTATGGGTAAAAGTACACATAAGAATTTTTCTGTTATTTTACTACTCTGACTACGTGGATGAAATACTGTGTAGAACTGGCACTGAGTAAACAAATGCATACATCCTGATCCAGGGGCACCACTTTCTCCCTTCCTCAGAGAGCCAAAAACACCAGGACGCTCAATGATACACATAATTTTTGTTTTGTTGAAAGTCACACACTGTGACCCATGGACAGATGGCAGGCTGTGAGCTATAGGATACCTGGCTGGCACGCCAACACCACAAGCCTTATGGAGACCTCGGAGGCTGTACACCATCCATCCAACCACAAGGAGCCTATGTCTAACTTCCAGAAACAAATGCTCAAGGATGACAGCAGGGACCAATGAACAAGGTCATGTACTATTGCTGGCCATCACAGACGTCCACCATATAATAGCTGTTTACTGCAATGTATTATTTTACTAAAAATATAGCCAAATCATTGCCTTAAATTCCTGTCAATTGGCTGCCATAAACAAGAGTAAGAAAAGAAAGGCAGAGCCGGTGTGGTGGTGCAGGCCTTTGAGCCCAGCACTTGGGAGGTAGAGGCAGGCAGATCTTTGTGAGTTCAAGGCCAGCCTGGTCTATATAGCAAGTTCCAGGCCAGCTGGGGCTACAGGGAAACCCTCTCTCAAAAAGACAAAAAAAAAAGAGAGAGAGAGAGAGACAGAGAGAGAGAGACAGAGTCAGAGACAGAGACAGAGAGACAGAGAGGAAAAGAAAAGAAGAGAAAAGAGAAAAGAAAGGCAGTTACCTCCAGGGCCCTGGAGCTCTGACCCTCCCTCTGCAGATGCCGCAACTGCTCCTCCTCCTGCTGGGCCTGGAGGGCTCGCTCCTTTCCACGCTCACACTCTAGCTCTTCAAGTGCAACCTTCAGTTCATTCTCCTTCCCATCCAGCATGGCTCTGTGAGGAGAACAACAGATACCTCTGAGCCCTGTGCAAGTACAACATTCTGGCAGGGATGGGAGGAGGGCCCCTTCATCATTCTCACACCTAAATCGAAAGGCTCCCACAGCACCTGCCAGTCACAGCAGACCCAGTTCCATTATGTAACTTCCACTGACAGTCACATAACATGGCCATACCTGAGCCGCAGGACTTCCTGTTGCACCTTGTTGAGGGACTCCAGTAGCCTTGTGTTCTCCTGCTTACACTCTTGCAGCTCTGACTTCAAATTCTGTAGTGCACTCTGTTCTACCACCAGGCGCTTCCGTACATCACTTGCTTTCTCTTGTTCTTTATTCAGGGTTTTCTGTAAGTCGCTAGCTATGCACTTTTCCTGTTCAACTTTATATGCTAATAGTTCAACTGAGAAAGATGAAAACATGAGACAGCATTATTCATGAGTCCAAAGTATGCCATACAAACTACATTAAGTCACAGATAAGGCTGGAGGTGTGTTCCTGTGCAGGAAAAATGGTATTTCTGTGAACTGGAAGCCATTGTTTCTAAGGGAGCTAGGTCTCTCAGAGACATGCTCCTTTGTCTTCTGAGCCTGTTTCTTCTTAGGTATTACTTCCTTGGTCAGAGCATATCCCAGAGGCCTACAGCACCAGCCACCCTCACTCATCAAATACCTCCAACAGAGACAAATCAAATCGCATACAGCTTCACTGAAAAATTCTCCCAGAACCTCAGGAAGAAACTGGCCTGGTTCTTCCCACAATCCTCTAGAAACACAGGAGGAGGGAATACTGCCTGGTTCTCACTTCCCAACATCAGAACCAGAAAAGGGTCTAGACAAAAAAACTGCAGACAAGGACTTTTGTAAACATAGACACAAAGCACTGCTGAGTGCAACCCAGATATACAAATGGCCCAGAACAAGGATGCTTACTTGACAGAAACCAAACAGACACAGAGATACTGACCCCAATGGTGAGCAACTGAATGTGAGGAGGGTTGTCTGGCTAAACCCTGACCAATACAAAGACCAGAAAGGAGGCATAGGGGGAAAAATAAATGAAGAAAAATACCATTTGTTCACAGACGAAGTGTCTATAAAAAAATTCCCCAAGAACCTAAATTAAATATGAAAACCTACAGCAAACTCCAAAACTCTAATGAGAGTCCCATACATTTGCACCCATCCAAGGGCCTGGCAAGCCCACTTGCCCAGTGCACCCCACAGGACAGTGTCTGAGAGTAGGTGTGGAGTGAGTTGACAGGAGTGACAGGAGCAGTGGCACCCACCTTGCTTTCGCAACTGGTGCTCCCGCTGGCTTCCATGGGCCTCTGCACTTGTCAGTGCCGCACACAATTGCTGCAGCTTCTCTTGGTTCTGCAGGTGTGTCATCCGAAGCTGAGCACGTAGAGCCTGGATTTCAGACAGCAGGCTGTGTCTGTCTGGTAGGCACAGCTGCTCCTGGGCTTTCTGCAAATCTCCCTAGCAAATAAGAAGAGCAGATGCAGTGTGAATGCTGGATGACAAGCACCCAGGCAGGAGGATAGAAGCAGGGCAAGTCTTGTGCTACACAGCCAACCATTCCACACCCAAGCTTCCAGTGCTATTGGGACAAGCTTGATGATCATGCAAGGGTAAAACAGGTGCATAGCAGCCCAGGGTCTCACCTCTCAGCATTCCCTGAGAGCTCTAGGCCTAGTGTAGGGCTGTATCAGTGCCTCAATTTAAACTCTGAGTTTCTCATCTGAGGGCAGTGATGCAAACAGGATTGCTAGTGTCCTACCAGGCTACTATCTCTGGCCCATGTGCAGTGTACTTAGAAACACAGAAGAGTCCTAGAAACTCTTTTTTTTTTTTTTTTTTTTTTTTTTTTTTTTGCTGGTTATTTCCAGGAGAGAAACATTTGAAGAAGAATCCACCAAGATTATTAGCACTTATGAATGAAAGCATGGTATTATACAAGCCAGAGATAACCACATCCCAAAACTGAACCAAAATTTACCTATAAGATAGATTTCCTCACATTCCCTGGCAGGGCAATACTCCTAGCAAGTAGTAAATCAAGGCATAGATGCAGAGCTATTACCTGTTCTTGAATAACCTTCTCCAGCCTCTTGAATAAGGAACTATAATTGCCTACATCTGAACCACAGGGTCTAGGTTGCAGCTCAGCATTTTCCTGCTCTCTGGCAAATACCTCTTGTATGGCCCACAGAACCTCTTCACTGCATGTTAGGTGCATGTCAGAAGGCTCCTATAAATGCAAAACAAAAGCCTCAGTGCTGGGTTGGTGTGCAGCTCAATGGCAGAGGTTTGCCTAACATGTGCAAAAAACCTGTTTTAACCCCACAACCTGCTACCTCCCACCCCCAAAAGTATCTTTGTGCTCTCTAGCAAGTGCTATACACTAAATGTATCTCACAAATTCATATATTCAGGCCTAACCTCCAAAGTGAGGAATAAGGCTTCCCTTAGGTTAAATACATGGTAGGGCTTCACTTGACAAGTTATATTTACAAGAGCAGAGACACTAGGATGCTTCTCTATCTCTGTCTCTCTCTGCTGAATGAGGACAGAGAGGAAGCTACTGAAAACTGAGTATTAAGCTCCCATCAAAGCAAGAATATACTGGTGTCTGATCTGATACCAACCTCTACACTTGTCAGAAATAAACACCTGTTGTTTAAACTGTGTATAGTAGGCGCTAGAGAGATGGCTCAGCTATTAAAGGCACTGGCTGCTCTGGCAGAGGATCTGGGTTCAGTTTGTAGTACCCACATGGCAGCTAACAACTTCCAAAACTCTAGTTCTAGGAGATCCAAAGTCCTCTTCTGACCTCTGCAGGCACTGCACATCACAAGTGCACTTACATACATGCAGGCAATACACTCATACATATAAAATAAGAAACATATAAAAAAAAACCCTAATTGTCTATAATCTATAATGCCTAGTCATGGCAGCTGAGTAGGTGGAGAGCAGCAGAAACTATTCTGACTGAAGAGGATGCACGAGACTGCCCAGTATCACTCAGGGTGTAAAAGGCAAATCTATCATCAAAATACTAATATCAGAGTAAGTAGTAAAATGAGACAAAGCAAAACACGAACCTTTTTTCTTCTCTTCCTACTGCTACACATAATAGGACCTGTTCTGGAATGGTCCAAAGATGTATGAAGCTGCCCTGCTGAGTATTTGGAACTTCCTGGGGCTATGGCCAAGAGCAGGCATGTTGCTGTTCAAGGACATGGTGACATAACCATAATACAAGCAGGACCTGAGGCACCTGCATGCAGTAATGCCACCACTCCTGGATTTTTATCACTTACTGAAGCAGAAACATCTTACCTTCTCCCCTCTGTCAGTAGTCACCTCCAACGGAGCCTGTCTGTCCCTTGGGAAGCCATCCAGGGGGTCACGTGGTTCACCCTTGCTCAGAGTACTAGGGAGGTCCTGGCTCTCTGACAAGGCCAGTATCTGGCGGCCCTCATCCAACACCATTTGCAGCAATGTCTAGAACAGAGAAGAGCACATCAGGAAAGGAGAGACCAACCAGCCTAGAGCCACCATCCATGCACTGAATCATCACCACCCTGATTTATTTGCTTAAAATCAGAAATTCTTTATGAGGTTGCTTCAATGGGAAACAAGAAATACCCCTCTGCAACGTTTTATAGCATAAAATTTTTGGAGACATAAACAAAACATAGACCAGTTATTCCAATTTCCATTCTTTTGTATGTGCGTGTGTGTACATGTGCTCATACACATGCATATACATGTGTAGAAGCCAGCAGTTCATATCAAGCGTCTTCCCCAGTCACTTTCCACCTTATTTTTCAAGACAGACTCGCTCACTGAACCTGGAGCTCACTGATACAGCTATACTGGCTAGCCCGCAAACCCCAGGGATCCTCTTGGCTAACTCCCCAGCACTGAGATAGGCACAAGCCACAATGCACCTGGGTGTTAAGGATCGCACTTGGGTCCTCATGCTAGTATGGCAAGCACTTTTATCAACTCAGTCGTCTCTCCAGTCCCTCCCCTCAATCTCAATTCTTCTTTCCTCCAGTCCTCCTCTGTTCCCTCCCCCCATCCTTGCCCATCCTCCTCCTCCTCCTCTTCTTTTTCTTTTTTCCCCCTGACTGTATTACTACATAGCTCCAGCTGGCCTGGAACTTGTTATGTAGACCAGACTACCCACAAACTCACAGGAGATTCACCTGCCTCTGGCTCCCAAGTGCTCAGATTAAAAGTATGCACCACCATATCCGGCCCAATTTCCCTTCTTAAAGGAGCAATAAAGTTTTATTCTTCCAATTTCAGAATTCTTAACAATACTAAAATTGCTTTTTTAAGCTATGTGTGTAGCTCATACCTGTAACCTCAGTACTAGGGAGGTTAAGGTCAGACCCTGTTGCAAAACAAAAAAATTATTTGGGGATATTTCATTTTTTTAAAAATTTTATTTACTATTTTTATTTTATGCGTATGAGTATATTGCCCGCATGTATGTGAGTGCACCCATATTGTGCAATGCCGTGGAGGTCAGAAGAGGGCTTTGGATTCCCCTGGAACTGGAGTTAAGGACGGTTCGTAGCCGCCATGTTGGTGCTGGGAATTGAACCCGGGTCCTCTTCAAGAACAGTCAGTGCTCTTAACCCCTGAGCCATCTCCCCAGCCCTTATTTGGGGATATTTCTATTGTTTAAAATACCATTGTGGCATGATAACATTTACTTATTTAGCCATGTTTTTGTCATAAATGACCTACCTGTTCAATGGCAACTGTGGCTTTTCTTTCTCCTCTGAAGAAAACAGTGTTTCACTCCAGAGCTGCCACAGAGCTCAGATTCAACAAGAACAATCCAGTCTGGAGATTTTAGGGCACCTACCTAGGTGGCTGGCATAGGGTTACAGTAGATGGTCTTCATGTGGGGCTCATACAACTGTGGTAGTCCAGAATGAGTCTGGCCCATCAAGGGATTAAGGCTGACAGGCTGGATAGGTCCAGGTCCAGGTCAGTCAACAAGGAAAGAGGAAGCCTTTTCATCTCATTGGGGCCTGCGAACGCTCTTGGAAAAGAGGACTAAAGCTCCTCACTAGCCTTACCTTCATGTGCTTTGCATGGACTTCCTTGTCCTTCATTGCTCCTGGTGGCTGGACAAACCCTCCTGCATGGACTTCCTTGTCCTTCATTGCTCCTGGTGGATGGACAAACCCTCCGGAGACAGGAGCAGCAGTGGCAGCCTTAAGACGGGCAGTGGGAGCCTCGGGTCCTCCTGAATCCAGGGTGAGCACTGCACCAATGCCTGGGTCATCACCTAAGAGTACACAGGGTCAGGAACTGAAGTCACCACATCTGTTTCCAATTGTAGCAACTCATACCACAGAAAACAGTCAGGAGCACCAGGCAAAAGTGGTAAACATTTTATAAAACATAAATAGGAGGACGATGATACTTAAGTAAGGAAAGGCTCATTTTTTCATGTTGGATATATTAAAGTCTTGACTTAAACATAAACGTCAGGGATATCTTAGCTCCTTACACAGATTTAACTGTTCATTACCTCAGACAACTGAACCCCAGAAAACACTCAAGAGAAGCCACACTGTACATGAGACCCAGGCACTTCATACCCAAGTGCAAGGACCAAGAATACAGTGAATAAGTCACCCACTCTGGGAGCAGCTGGGCAGATAGCAGTGTCTAGTCTGGAAAGTTGAATGTGCCTCACATGAGGTAGGAATGGGAACAGCACTGAACACAGTTTAAACTTTGTGACACAGACACCTGATAGGCAGGCGTCTTAAAATTTGTCCAGAGTGTGTAAACTCCATCCTTAGGCCTACAGTCTGTAACACCCCAGGAAAGCCGACAGGGGCATGCTGGCCAGTGAAGTACAGCAAGGAGCTGGTGCCCAGAGGAACTCTTCCACTAGCACCCAGCATACAGAGAGGCAGCAGCTCCAGACCCATAGGGAACAAGGGCATCAGGACCACTCAACTACTCAAGCCATATGCTCTGAGTAAATGAAAACTAGTATTCAAAGTTTCTATCAATGGCATTTTAGAAATATTAAATTTCTGGTAAACTACAAGTCACTATGATCTCATTCCCTCAAATTCTTGAAAGACAAAAAGCAACAATGATTCAAGAGAGACATCCCACATACTGATTTGGAAAAAGAAAACCATTACAGAAGAAATTATGAAGTTAGAAGATCACAGTTTCTCCCAACATCTGTAATGACAACTAATCCTATAAGAACCCTGAGAGAGCAAGGCCAGTAGGTCAGAAATACAGAAGAACTTTTACATGTTTCCAAGTCTCTTCCAAGGGACACTCCATGAAAAACAAGATCTGGCAGATAAAACTGTAGCCTATCAGGTTGACAATGACCCACAAATCTCCTGCTGTGATGAAGCAACCTGCATTCAACCTCGAGAATAGGTCAGACTCTAAGACAAACTCATACCTCTGCTCTTCTCAAATGTCAGTGTCACAAAGTCCAGAGAGGGATATAAGAAGCACTCCAAATGCAGACCAAGGGAAGCAGATAGGCTCAGGGCCTGCCTGCACTCAAAGGCCACGTGTGGACTAGGATGTCTTTTCTGTGAAGGATACTATTGGATCAACTGGCATAATTTGAGTAAGATCCAAGGCTAAGCACTGTGCTGGGACATTGACTTCATGAAACATACAGTGACATTTTTAGGAGATAAACAGTAGCAGGTTGGCAACTTATAGTTAGAACACAGGTAGAGGACACAGTATATTTGGACAGCAGAAAGAAGGAAATCTTTGTACTATTCTGTACTCTAAAAACATGTAAGTACACACACACTAAAAAAAAATTAATTAAAAAAGAAACAAGGGGCTGGAGAGATGGCTCAGTGGTTAAGAACACTGGTTGTTCTTGCTGAAGACCCGGATTCAAATCCCAGCACCCACATGGTAGCTAACAACTGTTTGTAACTTCAGTTCCAGGGGATCCGACAGCTTCTTCTGTCCTCTGTGGGCATTGCATGACACAGGTGCATTTACCTACATGCAGGCAATACACTCATACACATAAAATAAAAACAATAAATAAAATATTTTTAAAAAAAGAAACAGAAAAGAAAAAGATAGATGACTGACTCACTTTTCCTGCTCCCATCACTTCTTCCTTCTATTTCAGGAGGAGGGGATCTTAATGGTTCTTGAGAATCAAAAGATGATATGATAAAGTCTTCGACGTCCTTCTCCTGTTCAGACAGGCAGACTTTTAGGTGGTCACAAACCAGTAAGTAACTGGCAACAGATGGAAACTTATTAAAGTAAGAATATATCATCTTCCCATAGAGAACCCAGTTCAAAGCATTCAGAACACATAAACATGCTGAAGTCATGTGCTATCAATAACTTAATCAGATTCTCAATAGCACGGAGAATATTTTTAAGGGCCGGTGAGATGGCTCAATGGATAAAAATGCTTGCCACTAAGCCTGACAATCTGAGTTTGATCCAGGGGACTAACATGGTAGAAGGAAAGAACAGATTCATGAAAGCTGTCCCTTGAGCTCCACATCCATGGAGCTCACAGGCTATAGCACAGGCTAACCCACACACATATACACATGCAGACAAAATAAAATGTAATTAAAAAAAAAACTTTAAAATAATATTTTTATTTTTTTATTTTTATTTTTTTATTTTTTTGTCTTTTTGAGAGAGGGTCTCCCTATAGCCCCAGCTGTCCTGGAACTCACTATGTAGACCAGGCTGGCCTCTGCCTCCCAAAGATCCACCTGCCTCTGCCTCCCAAGTGCTGGGATTAAAGGCGTGGCGCCACCAAGCCCAGCCAAAATAACATTTTTAAGTACCCATTACCAATTTCATGTTTTAAAGAATTTCAGATTCTTAAAATATGTGAATAAATGATTGTGTATGGGTATCTCAGATAACATGCATCCCCCAAAGTACTTTATCTTGATATACAAAAATCCCAAAATTTTTAGAAAAATGTAATTTAACTAAAAAATAATAACTTGAAGTATCTTTAATATTAATCAGCATCGCCAGGTGTGGTGGCCCACGCCTTTAATCCCAGAACTTGGGAGGCAGAGGCAAGCAGATCTCTGTGAGTTTGAGGCCAGCCTGGTCTACCCAACAACAACAAAAAACAAACAAAAATCAGCATCATATATACAACCCACAGCATATGAACTATTACTGACAATAAATCTAGAACTAGGGCTGTGGATCAGTCAGTAGAGTGCATGTCATGTTACCATGAGGAACCAAGATCCAATCTCTAGCACCCACCTAAAAACTCAGGTGTGGTGGTATATGTCTTTAATTCTAGCACTTGGGAGGTAGAGATAGGAAGATCCCTGGGTCTAGGTGGCTAGCCAGTCTAGCCAAAACAGCAAGCTCCAGGTTCAGTGAGAGACCCTATCTTGAAAATAAGGTGGAAAGTAACTGAGGAACACACCCAACATCAACATCTGGCCTGCACATGCACACATAAACACAAACTCATACACTACACACACATACACAAACAAAATCTAAAACATTTCAGACAGAGTCCATAATTACACAAGAATTATGACTGTAAATTTCTGAGGATAGTGATTACCCCTTACGTTTCAGACATGACTAAAGTGATCTAAGTGTCCCTGTAATAGTCAGCTGCAGGACTTATATCGCCTGGAAAGCCAGTTTGCCCATGGACCATGAGGCACCTACTGTCACAAGAACCAACAATGACTTTGTTGTGATGTATCCCTGTGGAAACACTGACTACCCACAGATGCTGCAAGAAGTATGGGGAGGCACCTACCACAGCTGTCCTTTCCACATGGCAGTACTCAACTGAAGGAGCCACCACCCACAGTGGGTCCTGTCCTGTTGACTTGCCCGGGTAACAAAGCAGCCCCGATGTATCAGCCCGCAGCAATGAATCTGTCCAGTCTTGTGGGGAGGTGTCGGCACTGTGCAAGCTCACTGTGCCCGTGCAGGGTGTCAGGGAGAGGCTGGGCTGGGGCTCAAAAGCTGAGTCCTTCCGGAGGACCTCGGGGGAGCTCCAGGAAGACAAGTCCAATGCCCTCATTGGGTCCTTCTGGGGCTCAGCCTTCTCAGTGTAAAGGGAACCACTGTGCACACTGGTTTGTGAGGAAAGAGTCCCATGCTGTGACGTTAACTTTGCTTGAGTGGGAAAATCTGGCGTTTCATTTTGGATCAAAGAATCCTGATTTTCGGTAACATCAATTACATCCCATGTGGTTTGAGCAATATTAAATACATTAACAGGAGGTAAAAGGTCTGTTTCTTCAGCATTATGGGAACAATTACTTAAAACATTTTCTGACAGGTTTGGCTGCTGGAACTTAAGATCTTCAGTGTTGGTGTCCTGGAAGGACATAGAATGCACAAGGTGGTTCATTTTTTCCTGCAGTTGTTTCACTTGAGCTATGAGATTGACACTGTGCAGTTGACAAGCTTCTGGTTGCTTTTCCTCACCCTGTGGGTAAAAAGAATATTCAACAGTCAAGTGGTTGAATTACAAGACACCTCACCATGATCTTTGTGAGCTATTTTCAGAAAATGAATACCTATGGGTGAGGGTCTATTATGAACCTTCCAGATGCTTAAAATATCAAGTTTATTTAATGTCATGAAAAACAAAATCAGAGTTTTGGGTTTTTTTATTTACTATTTTTATTTTATGTGTATGAGTGTACTGCCTGCATGTATGTGACTGCACCTGTGTCACGTAATGCGGTGAAGATGAGAAGAGGGCTTCGGAACTGGAGTTGAGGATGGTTCGTAGCTGCCATATGGGTGCTGGGAATCGAACCCGAGTAACTCTGTAAGAGCAGTCAAGTCAGTGCTCTTGACCAGTGAGCCATCTCTCCAGCCCCGAAAATCAGAGTTTAATTTTTTGCCTAAAAGACAAATGTCATAGCCAAGATTTTTGATGTTTATTAAGAAGTCAAGTTTTTCTGAAGTGAGGAAAAAAGGGACTAGAAGGCTCTGTATCTAAATATTGAAGGGAGAAAAGTAGTTGCACATAAACACTTCATTTCAGTGTTTGTGGTCCACAAGGGTTAGCCTTCTCATGATCAAACAGACATGGCTACTACAAAGGCACAGAGGGAGTCTGATACAGGCAGCTGGTAAGAAAGTCACTACATAGAGTGTATTTCCCGAAGAGTGCTTGATGGACTCGAGATGGATGCAAACAGCTCTCAAAAGCACAGCCAAGGCCCATGCTCTGCTCTTAACCTGGGTCTAGGACCCTGTGGGATTCTGAACCATTCAGGCTCTCAGAAACAAATGTGACATACGTGGCACAGGCAGGAGTGGTCCAGGTCTGGGCCTCCACCTTCCTCTAGCAATGTGCACACCTTCATATGATAGGGTTATGAGAGTCTTCAGCATTTACAGTGCCATGAGTGCACTGATAACAAAACAAAAGAGTCTTTTAAGTGCCAGAAGTGGCCAAGGAGTTACAGGCCTGTTTTCTAAGTATTAGTGAGCAGGCCATGGGTACGAATAATGACCAGGAGGAACTTATTCTAACAGAAGGGTGGGTGAATGCCACATAGAACACACATGATGCACTCAAGACAGAGAGCAGCTCCCACTACTGAAATGTGTATCCAAGGTGAGGACTACTGTGTGCATGGGGTCTGGGAAGCACTGACACCTATCTTCGTATTAAATCTTGACTATGCAATATCAAAGGCTGCCCAGGTGAACCCTTCTTCCCTAGGGTAAAAAAAAACAAAACAAAACCCAACCTTTCTTGAAGGCTGGAAGAGGGAGGAAAACAAAAACAAAAACAAAACAAAAAACACCTGAGAGTCAAAAAATAAATCTAAAGACTTTCAAAGTTGGAGGAGCACTTGTAGTGACAACAGCCCTGAATTAGGATAAAAAGATCAAGAGTGTGAGGTGGAGCAATTTGGTCTTCACACGAATAAAATTTAGCTACAAGAAATATTGTATCTTTAAATAAATCTTGCAAGAGACTTCAAAATGAACAAAGAGCACCCTAATAACGGGGTAGATGGACTCAGAGGACAGGCCACTATGTGTAGTCCATGGGCTATTCCCACCTCAGCTAATCAAGTTTGTGTCATGATACACCTCTGTGTGCTGTGGCCCAGTCCCATCCAAGTCAGCATTCACCAATACCCACAACAAGCCCATGTACCTGTATCCCTTCAGGAACCCTGCTGCCATCCTCCATGCTCCAGCACATTTCATTTTTCACTAAGAGCATCTCTGCCTCCAGCCGCCTCTGACAGACTGCGAGGACCGTCATCATACTTTCAGCCTTGTGAAGACAGGGATCCTTTAGTGTTACAAGGACTTTAGCAGACTGTAGATCATCCTTGACCAGAGGAAACATAAAGAGCTTATGAGCTAGAGCTGGGTTAATCAGGGACTCAGGTGCTGCTTGGCTGCCCCTCAGACCACCTGAGCACTGTAGACACAGAACAACCCGCAGACACCGAAGAGAAGGCACTTCTGCCTCTCTTCACTGCCCACTGCTGGGCAGCAGGCACACCAGGCTGAGTGGTAGGTGACAATAGAGAGGGCATCTGGAAATGGGGGCTGGTGGGAGCAGCAGGCAGCTAATCCTTTAAGATCTACTGAAAGGGGCTGCCACCTGTGGTCTTAGCATATGTTGAAGTTGTATAAATAACTTTGGAAAGTAACACCATTCAAAAATTATGATTTAAATGCAATTTATATTAAAGAAAAAAAAAAAGATCTACTGAAAGGTAAACAGGAATGTTAAAATAGGCTACTCAGGTAGGACTTTCTATTCCAAAACGAAATGAACTTAAAATAGTTTTCATGGGTATGATTGCTAAAAATAAACCATTTCAGGGCTGGAGAGGTAGCTCAGTGGTTAAGAGCACTGGCTGCTCTCACAAAGGACCCAGGTTCGGGTCCCAGCAACCCCACGGCAACTAACAACCTATGTAACTACAGTTCCAGGAGCTATGATGCTCTCTCTGGCCTCTGCAGGCATTGCACACACATGGTGCACTTAAATGCATGCAGGCAAAATATTCCTACACATAAAAATAAATAAAAAATAGGGGCTGGAGAGATGGCTCAGCGGTTAAGAGCACTGACTGCTCTTGTAGAGGACCCGAGTTCGATTCCCAGCACCCACATGGTGGCTACGAACTGTCCTTAACTCCAATTCCAGGGGAATCCGAAGCCCTCTTCTGACCTCGGCTGCATTGCATGACACGGGTGCACTCACATACACGCAGGCAATATACTCATACATATAAAATAAAAATAATAAAATATTTTTTAAAAAGATTAAAAAATAAATAAAAAATAAACCATTTGATTAGAACCAAAAAGGGAAATTAATGCCAAGTGACCTCTGTGTCACTATATATCATTTCCAAAGCATTAAAAGAACTGTTTTAAAAAGTGAAAGTGACAAAATGCTAATAATTTTCAAGCTATACAAGAAAATGACATCCAGTCTGACTCACTGAGGAAGAAAATGGCCCACAATCTAGGCTCTTTTCTCTGCCCTGTCAGAAGTCACCAATGACAGCAGAATCCCAAAGTCTAGTACAAAAAGAAGTCAATAAAGCTAGTCATGGTAGAACATACCTTTAATTCTAGCACTTGGGAGGCAGAAGCAGGCAAATCTCTGAGGGCAGTCTAGTCTACATAGCAAAGTTCTAGGCCAGTTGGGGCTTACAGGGAAACCCTATCTCAGAAAA